GTGGGGGTTCCTGCTTTTGGTGTTGTATTTATGATCTCTGCCTAAACCAAGATAAAAAAATTTTCTCCTGTGTTTTCTTCTGGAAATTTTATAGTCTTAAATTCTACATTTGAGTTCATTTTTGTATGTGATGTGAGATATGGGTTGAAATTTACTTGTTTGCATATGAATAGCTATTTGTTCCAGCAAATAGCTGGAAAAGACATAGCTGTGGAAAAGACATCCTATCTTCACTCAGTTACCTTTGCATATTATTGAAAATCAATTGACCATATACTTGTGGGTCTGTTTCTGGACTCTGTACTCTGTTACATTGATAAATTTGCCTATCTTAAAAGCAATACCACATTGCCTTGCTTTCTGTAGCATTATAAATCTTCAAATCAGGTAGTGTTTGGTCTCCTGACTTGTTCTATTTTTTCAAAATTGTTGTGGCTATATTAAGTCTTTTTTCATTTCCATATGAATTTTAGAATCAGATTGTCAATTTCTACAAAACAGCCTGCTGGGATTTTTTTTTTTTTCAGATTGAGCTGAACATATAGATCAATTGGGGAGAATTAACATCTTAACAATGTCTTAACATCTTCTCAACAATGAACAAGCAATGTCTGTCCATTACTTTAGGTCTTCTTTAATTTCACTCAATACTCTTGTATAGTTTCCAGTGAATGGGACTTGTATATATGTTGTCAGATTTATCTCTAAGTATCTCATATTATCTAAGGATATTGGAAATGATATTGTTTTTTACTTTCAGTTGCTGACTGATTGTTGCTAGCATAAAAATACAGTTGATTTTTGTATATTGATTCAGTATCCTACAGCCTTGTTAAACTCACTTATTAGCTCTATGAACTTTTTTGTGGATTCCAATAGATTTTCGGCAAAGACAATCATGTTGTCTGTGAATACAGTTTTGTTTATTTCTTTCCAAACTGGATGCCATTGTCTTTCTTGCTTTATTGAACTGGCTAGATCCTCTAGTATAAAGGTAAATAGACATGGTGAGAGCAGACATCCTTTTCTTGTTGCTGATCTTTAAGAAAACATTCAGAATTTCACCATTAAGATATTAGCTGTAGTTTTTGTTTTTGTTTTTAATAGATTCCCTTTCTCAGGTTGAATAAGTTTCCTTCTATACCTGGTCTGCTAAAGTTTTGGGGGCTTTTTTGTTTGTTTTTAATTAGGAATGGATGTTGAATCTTGCAAACGATTTTTCTGTCTGTTGAGTTGATCATATGCTGTTTGATATTATACCACTTTGTGTATAATTTAATAACCTTAAAATAATATACTTCATTTTTCCACTAGGGCCTTTATACTATTGTTTTCATACATTTTTATTACACATATGTTATTTTTAAAGTAATTATCATTATCTTGTAAAGAAATTCAAATAATAAGAAAAAATCTTGTATATTTGTCCATATATATTTGCATTTTTCTGGTGCTCTTCTTTTGTATATTCCATATTTCCACTGCTGTTATTTTCTTTCTGAGAGGCTTCCTTTAAAATTTTATGTAATGTAGGCCTGTTTGTGATGAAGTCTTTCAGCTTCTGTACATTTTAGAAAGCCTTTATTTTGCCTTCATTTTTTAAAAACTATTTTGACTGGGTGTAGAATTCTAAATTGACCAATTTTTCTTTCTTTCAGTACTTGAAAGACATTCCACTGTCTTCTCACTTGCATTGCTTCATTAAGAAATCTGATGTAATTCTTATCTTTATCCCTTGGTAGAAAAGGTTTCTTTTTTCCCTCTGGCTCTTAAAAAAAATTTTTTTTAATAATAGGTTTGGTACAATTAGGTTCTGATTATGATTATGTGGTTTTCATCATGTTTTTTGTGGTTTGGTTTGAAATCCTTGGACCTGTGGATTTATAATTCTCACCAAATTTGAAAATTTTCAGGTGTTATCTCTTCCAAAAAAATTTTTTTTGGTCTTCCCTCCTTTAGGGACTCAATTATGTGTATATTAGGCTGCCTGAAGATTGCTCATGGCTCCTTTATGCTCACTTTATATATTTTTAAAGTTTTTATTCTCTGTGTGTTTTATTTTGGATTGTTTCTATTGCTGTGTCTTGAAGTCATTAATCTTCTCTTCTTCAATATCTAATCTGCACTCCCTCCAGCTCCATCTTACAGAAGCTGTGACAGGCATTTTTAGGCATCTTAAGAGGGGACATCATGTTTCCTCATCCTCAGAGTAGACCATCCATAAGATGAAGAAACCTTTTTCTTGCTGGTGTTGACCACCTTTTAGAGCATAATTTCTGTGTTATTATTAGGATAACCATATGTTCTAGTTTGACTGGAACATTCCTTGTTAATGCCCATTGTTTTGAGCTAATTATTAATATACTCCCTTTCACTATTAAAAATCTCCCAGTTTGAAAATAAAACATATAGTCACCTAAGCCAATGTTCTAAGAAAACACAATTTCCTTTACTTTCTTTTATTAGCCATCCTCTCAATGTTAAGCAGTATAACTGGAAGTTCCTCATCATCTTGTTGGCTTCACGGTGTCTGTGTAGTTGAGAGAATACTGGCTCACTAGTGCTTCTATCAGTTTCTCTTTGGAAAAGACTCAATGAAATGGCTGTCTTATTTTATGAGGAAACACCTGTCTGTGGCACTATTTTCTTTATATCTGTGCTTTATTGGGTAAAGGAGACCAAGGAGAGATTATTAAAGCTACTTTGTGCTTGACACTTGAAAGAGATGCATGAGGTTAGTGTGGTACTGGGGTGGGGTGGGGGGGCAAGCTGAGAATCAAAGGGAAACATGTGACCCTGTTTTCCCAGTCTTCAAACCAGAGGGCTTATGTGAGTCATATCTCTCTCAGAATCAATGGGCTGTATCAGATATTGAATATATCCTACTTTTTGGTGTTTTTATTACTCATTTTTTCCATCTCCCTTTAGTTCACTGGAACCCAGCTTCCCAGAGATCTTTGATTGCTATTCCTTGGATATGAACAAGGAATGGCTTTGGGAAGGTGTGCACCCAGATAGAAACAATAGGGCTTAAAGAAGGCAGGAGGTAATATTTTACCTGGGAAGAATAGGAATTTTGAAAATACTACTTAATGTATTTTTTTCTCATGGTAATCCAGTTTTCCACCTTCCACTATTGTCCTTTAGCAATTAAGGCTAGACCCAAAGTTTTATTGCCCCATGGAAGGAGGAATAGACAGATATTCCCTAGATCAAAAATGTCATTTCTCAGGCTTCCCTGGTGGCACAGTGGTTGAGAGTCCGCCTGCCGATGCAGGGGACATGGGTTCATGCCCCGGTCCGGGAAGATCCCACATGCCACGGAGCGGATGGGCCCGTGAGCCATGGCAGCTGAGCCTGTGCGTCCGGAGCCTGTGCTCCGCAACGGGAGAGGCCACACAGTGAGAGGCCCGCGTACCGCAAAAACAAAAAAACAAAACAAAATGTCATTTCTCAGATTTGAGTATAAAAACAGACTCTTCTGGTTTTTTTCTGAAAAATGTCTATTCAGGTTTTCTGCCCATTTTTAATCGAGCTATTTATTTTTTGATATCGAGTTGTATAAATTGTTTATATATTTTGGATATTAACCCGTTACCAGTCATATCATTGGCAAATATTTTCTCCCATTCAGTAGGTTGTCTGTTTATTTTGTCAATGATTTCCTTTGCTGTGTAAAAGATTTTAAGTTTAATTAGGTCCCATTTATTTATTTTTGCTTTTGTTTCTTTTTCCTTAGGAGACTGATTCAAAAAAATATTGCTTCGATTTATGTCAAAGAGTGTTCTGCCTATTTTCTCTTCTAGGAGTTTTATGGTTTCTGGCCTTACATTTATATCTTTAATCCATTTTGAATTTATTTTTGTATATGGTGTGAGAAAATGTTCTAATCTCATTCTTTTACATGTAGCTGTCTAGTTTTCCCAGCAGCACTTATTGAAAAGACTGTCTTTTCACTATTGTATATTCTTACCTCCTTTGTTGTAGATAAATTCATCTTAAGTTTGTAGGTTTATTTCTGGGCTCTCTGTTCTGTTCCATTGATTTATGTGTCTACTTTTCTGCCAATAACATATTCTGAGTGTTTTAAAATTTGATTTCTATAAATAGTTTATTATCACAGTGGGATAGATGAATAAGATAAATGAATTAGCTTTTGGAACAGCTCTCATTTCTAACATGTAAAGAAGGTAAAAATATTCATTATAGAATGCTACAGTGAAAAAATATTTTCAACTGGGTGGGAGGCTACTGTCAGGTCTGGGATTTGACTTTGCTCTACTTACAGAGTAAGAAATTAGCCTGTTACTGTTTCATGGGTTCTGGCTGAAGACACAAGACTTTGATTAGGAACACAGAACTCCATTACTCATGGCACAGCAAGGAGTATGAGTATCTGCATATTTACACGGGTTCTCCTGTCCCCAAGTCCCATCAACATGAACCAACTTGCTCAGATCGATTTGGATTTGATGCACACAGTGGGTTTGCATCACAGCTAAAGTACACTGACCTTGAGGAATCTACTGGTTTTTTAACAAACAGTAAGCAAGCCTATTCTTTGTCTGGGGAAATACCCTTACCTCTTCTATCAGAAGAGATTGAAAGTCTAATTATATCTTAGACTAGAAACTAGGTTAGGTGACATATGCAGTCATTCCCAACTCTGATATGCTAATCTCTCTGATCAAAAATTGTGTTTTTCTGTTGAAGTCATTAGGCAGAAGAATCCCTAGTTCAATCACAATTTTTAAACAGGTATAGAAGATAAAATTTTTCAGTAATAAATTTCACATAATTTCTCATTCTGAGACCACCCACCATTCTGCCTGATGCCAAAAACTTAAAGTAAAATTCAGTGATTTCACAGATATTTAGGTTTAACACTCAATCACATTGGGATGCTCCCTTTTCCTGAATTCTGTTGATCCTAGGGCTTACACAAATTCTGCTGTTGTATGAGAGAGCATGGGAGAAGAGGAAGATGTTCATTTCCTCACCTGCTCAAGTTCTAGGCTGGCTTCCTATTCCACACATCACTCTTGTCACGTACAAACAGGTCATATGCAGGATTCCCTTGGATCGATGGTGAAGTCATGAGGAAAAGAGAAGAGCACGCTGGTCAACAAACAAAAGTATTACCCTCCCATACAAGGCTAATTAAATATAACTTGATGGTCAAAGGTACTAGGATGAGGGAGGGAAATAAGACTCTAACTCTTGTAAGGTTGAGAGTCACTTTTCTCCAGATTTCTTTCCTCATATAGGAAGCCCAGCATGGAGTATATATGTATAGTTGCACATACCATGTTTCATAGCAAAGCAGATCTAGAAAAAGAATAAGCTCCTGCACGTTACTCACAGTGACCAGGAGAGGGCACTTAGCACAAATGAATGAAATAATTCTGCCAACACCTAGTTCTAAAGATTCCTCTTTGGCTCTACCATTTGTACAAATCAATTTATTTTATGTGTCCATTGCGAACTCCTTTGGAGCTAAGGATAATTGCAATTACACATTCCTCTTGATGACAGTCCTCAACTATAATAATATCCCAGGTGGCTGAGATACTCATTTTTCCATAGAGAACACAGGAACAAGACTATATGAATATGAAAAAAATTCAGAGGGAAGAATTTATTTTTGTAGACAATTTCTCAAAATGAGCACTTTAGAGGAATTAAAATGTGTTTGAGCAATCTTTCAGAAGAGGGAAAACATACTTATTGAAACCTTCCTGTAAGGAAAGACTTCTGATATGCTCTCTTTCCTCCATTTCATATATATATATATATATATACATATATATATATATATATATATATATATGTGGTTTGGTTCAGATTGTGAGCTCAAATAATTCACCTTTGAACACACTAAAATGAGGGAAAGAGTAGTATTCTATCATAAAACAAAATGAGACACTGCATTTCCTAGGGAAAAAAAAAAACCCCTTGAATTCTATGTATTTCCTTTTAGGCCTACCATAGACAAAAAACAATAAATTGGCCAACCATGTTCTTCAGGTGTATAATTTTCTTTCTTCCCAAAGTGAACACTCCCTGGGAAAATACAAATAACTTCTAATTTCAAACTTCTAACTTCTAATAACTTCTAATTTTCTCCCTGGGAAAATACAAATAACTTCTAATTCAAATAACTTCAGAAGCTATTTTTATTTCTTTTCAACACAAAAAGAAAGTAGGCCACCTTGACCAGAGCACAAAATAATCTTTTCCAAGAGGACTTGAATGAGTACCTCATTATCCAAGGAAAAAATACATACCAAGATTTTTTACCACTTTGTTTTGATTCATTTTCAAATACTTTTTATAGCAATGGGAAAAAAATATCGATGAATCGGTTTTTCCAAAACAAAGCCATTTTGTCTTTTAATTTTAGCCTGAAAGTGGCTCCTCATCGTAAGTATTTTAGAAAGAATAACACTGTGGCAGAGAGTAGCTGAGAGACTTGCTTGTGGACACCTAATGTTTCCAAATTTGGGAGTAATATTTCCACCCATGAGGCATTGATTTTTTGTTATAAAGTCACCTACAAATTCCGAACTGTTTCTGTCCTATTAGATATAAAGAAATATCAATAATCCAAAGAGATTATGGTTTAATTTACATTTAGTAACTGTAACCAGCTTTAGTTTGGGAACCTAATTCTTTCTGATTCAAAGGAAGTACAATTTTTTTCTTGGTTGACAATTCACTTTCCATGTCATTAATAATAATAAACAGTAACATTACTGAGCGACTGTTTTGTGCCATCACCCTCTCAACTATCTTCTAAGATAGTTTTTATTATCCCCATTTACAAAAGAGAAAACTAAGGGAGCTCAGAGATGTTAAGTAACTGTCCCTGAATACAGAGCCACTAGTGGCAGAGGCAGAATTGGTACCAGCTGTATCTGACTCCTAACCCTTGCTGTCTCCACCATGCCTCACTTCTTCTTAATTGCATAAATTATTTTACCAAATTGAAACACAAATATCATTTTCTGTTAATAGCAACAGTAACTACTTTCTTGACTTTCTATTTTTCAATTTTGGGCAGAAAGGCATTAGAAAGTGAATTAATTTTTTATTGCATCTGGTAAGAATCCAGAAAGTACTATGAATTCTTACTATAAAAAGTATACCTATATGACTAGCCCGAGACACAGTACTACATACATTTTCTAAGAGATCTTGTTTTCAATCAATATTAAGACACTTTGTCTACTTATTTATTTCATTTTAAACCAAGGTAAAAATCTTGCTGTTGGATATAATACTTAATAATCTAATAGTCAATTTCTTGAAACAACAATATACAGTTATCTGAAAAAATACAGATTTCAGAAGGTTTAAGTAGATTCCCTTAGAAATCTATTCATGTGCTTACACCCAGAGGCCCACACAATTTTTTAAAATCAGTTTCACACACTTTACCAAGTTCAAGCTAGGTGATATAGCAGGCTTTAGAAAATCTAGGGCTTATTTTTAAAAGGTCAGGTACATAAAATCTCAGAGGTGTGTACAATCCTTTTGAATAGCTGCCATCTTCCTGAGAGCCATCAGCATCAAAACAACAGGCAAGGTTTTCCACGTGGTTCCTGGTTGCCTGAGCCATTCCTTGGCAGGAGTGCTCAAGACCAGCTGAGCCTTGGGGAAAATACCCAGAAGATAGATTTCTGGGAGCTCCAAGCCATCTCAGACTAACCCCTGCCTCTGGTTCTGTCCCTCTCCCGTGGGTTGTAGCCAGAGGCCCCAGCCTGATCCATGTGTTGAAGACTGTGTATGGGGCTGCTGTGCGGTCAGAGTGCTAGTCTGTTGAGCAGAGGCAGGGGCCAGCCTTCCTTAAACGTCTCCCTCCGTCCTTGTGGACCTGGATCAAGTCCTGTTCTTTCAGCGGGGAGCTGGCCCAGGGGCTGCCTAGCTGGGGGGCATGGCGGGAACTTGCATTCCCTCTGACCAGTCGGCCCACCTGTTCTCTTCAGATGACTATCCCAGTGCCTTAAGGGAAGGAATCCACCACACTTTGTCTGCTGGACCCACCCCAGCTCTGTCCTCTATAGGGGGATTGCCCGGGGGTGGGGTGGCTGTGGGGCGGTGTGAGCACCTGATCGGCAGCGCTCCCGCTGTCCTCACGTGCTCCTTCCATCCCCACCTGCTCACCTCTGAGGCCTGTGATTTCGGCAGCTCCAAGCACCCTTTCTGTAGTCAGCACGGTAGAGCTGATCCAACCCCAGCTTCTGTACTTGCCGCCTGTGTGACATTGGAAATGACTTCGCCTCTTGGCTGAGCTACACACTTTATGCAGGATACAAATGACATGTGACATTGTGGAAGTTTAAGTTATACAACATGTCAAATCAACATTTATATCTCAATAGAAATAATACATTAATAATAAGAGAAAATAAAGCTCAACTCTGAGGAGGCAGCTTGAAAGGCACTGATAAATTACTAGACTGTGAGGGACACAAGGCAGCAGAACTGTTAAGCTGTTATCGTCTCAAGAAAGCAACATTGCATAGTTGCGGGAATGGGAAGTTTTTTTTTATCTAGAAAGGAAAGGAAAATGGGATCCCAATCTCACTCTTTACACCAAAAAGACTACCATATTTTAAAATACAGCAATAGAAACCATAAGTGAAGTGAAAATAAGATTCTGCCTAGAGTAACAGTACTGTGAACAAATGAGGGTAATTTTGGTAACAGAGCAAAATAAAGCTTGTTTCATTAATCTACAGTTAACTACCATAAATCAAAGTGAAAGGACTAACAACCCTGGAGATAAAGGATATGAACACTTAACATGACTGGAAATACAAATTACTTTTAGACTTAAGAAAAGATGTTCAAAATCACCCATAGTAAAAGAAAAGCAAATTAAACCTATAAGAAAAATAACCATTTCCATTTATCAGATTGATAAAGATCAAAACGTTTGATAGTACCCTGAGTTGAGCAGGATAGTACAGGAAAATAGGTGCTTTCAAATACTGCTGATGGGAGTAAAAACTGAAACCATCCTTTTGGAAGGCAATTTGGCAGTGACTAACAAATTAAAAACACACATACCCTTTTATTCAAAAAGTCTCTTTTTAGGACTATATCCTGCAAATATATTTAAATATGAACAAAAAGCTATCTGTACAACGATATTCATTGCCGCATTTTTTAATAGTAGCAAAAGCTCGGAAAGAACTTAAAGATGTATAAGTAAGTCTAGTTACACAAATAAAGCTCTATATAGACAATAAACACTGTGTAGATATTAGCAAAATCAACAAGGCCTTACTGCTTTAGTAATATGTAATTGTCGCCAAGACAGTCAGATGGATGTATTTTTTAAAAAGCATAAAATAATCTTATGGTGCTTTTTGTGTTTTTAGGATAAATATTCGTGTGTGTATGCTTGTATATGTATGTACATATACATAGGGGATTAAATAAGAAATTGGTAACAGACACTCCAGGTAAACTGGTATCTGAGGGGCAGGGTGAAAGGGAAATTTATTTTTTACTATATATTCCTTAATTGCACCTTTTAAATTTTATAGCATATGCGTAATTTGCTTACTTTGTTTTCTTTAAGAGTAGGGGCTTTGTGGTCAAACAGCTTTGTATGAAGTCCCATTTCTACCACTCTAGACAGATTACTTAATCTCTCATCTTTACAATGAGGATAATCCACTAAGTAGAAAGTGTTTGCCATTTTTTTTTTTTGTCTTTTTCTAGAATTAATTAATTAATTACTTTGGCTGTGTTGGGTCTTTGCTGCTGCGTACGGGCTTTCTCTAGCTGCGGCCAGCAGGGGCTACTTTTCTTTGCACTGCGCAGGCTTCTCATCGTGGTGGCTTCTCTTGTTGCGGAGCACGGGCTCTAGGCGCGCGGGCTTCAGTAGTTGTGGCTCGCGGGCTCTAGAGCAGGCTCAGTAGTTGTGGCATGCAGGCTTAGTTGCTCTGTGGCATGTGGGATCTTCCTGGACCAGGGACCGAACCTGTGTCGCCTGCGTTGGCAGGCAGATTCTTAACCACTGCTGTGCCACCAGGGAAGTCCCTGCCATTTTTAGAAGGGCAAATTTTAAACAACAGTAATTATTCGCTTGTGGTAGATTTTCAGTCATTATGATGGTATAAGGGATACATGGGGCAATGGCTTCCTAGATGACATGACAGTTGTTTTGCTACCCAGAATTCCCTTCCCTTCCTCTGGCAATCATATTTAGATATTCCTTTGGAGAACTACCATCTGCGCACTTCTCAAACCATTCGAGTGGACACGATGCTTGATACTGAGGGTTGACATGGAACTTAGACCTGGCCAATGAGGGCTTTGCATTCCTAGTCATAGTAAGGTAGAAGCAACAGTTTGGGAAGACTGTCATCAGCATACCGTGAACAGTGATATTCCCAATTGCACCTCTTTCTTCCCAGACCCATATATACACTGGTCACTGGTTGAGACAAGATTTCACATTCTCTGTGGACCCCAATTCACAAGGCGCTGACTTCTACCTACCATCATAATTGCTGTCTTCAATAAGCCATTTCATTCTTCTATGAGGCCGGCTGCTTCTGTGCAATGAGGTACGCAGTAAGATCTATAAATCTTGTGAGAATAAGCACATTTCTTTACTTCTTTTGGCTAAATTTTGCAGTGTTTTGAAGTGCAACGTATTTTCCTTTCATGTGTGACTTTGTAACTGGGTCCCTGTGGGATCAGATTCTACTTACAGGTCCAGAAGGACTGCTTTAAGTAGAATGGAACATGAGGCAAATTAGTATCCCCTGGTTAGGTGACAACTTCAACAAAAGTCACCACAGC